AGTGGACCTCCTCGAAAGCGACGGTCGAACTGTCGTGGATAGGGCTCTTATGTTCCTTTATTTATCAGTTATGTGCAGTAGGGCCTCGGTTAACGCGTTAAATACGTTCCGGCATCCAGCTCGTCATGTAAGACGCTCATCTAGCGAAATCTAGCCAACCAAACTGCATCAGCTTACTGATTGGTTGCAGGCAACTGATGACTCAAACCCTGGGAGCAAGACTCAGCGGCAGACATAAATATACACATGCACGGGTAAGGCCTCAAGTGAGCGGACGCTGAGTCAATTGAGTGGCTCGCTCATTCGCTGAAATGCTCACAGGTGGAGCTGCTCGTCACCCGGGGCCCCCGTATTAGGAAGAGCATAGTTTTCAGAAGATTATCGGCCAATTTTCGCGTGTTTATGTAAAGAAAGGGGCCTTCTGGCCAACAGCGTATTTCAGGGAGGTTTGGTCAGTAAATTCAAGTCCTAACGAAAAGATGGCTCACATATAAGGGACGCATCCTCTCCGCTGTTACAGCAAAGTCTATAGTGCCTCAACGCGCTTTAGTCAGATGAGTTGACGCTGATGTATCCGGAGCAGCACTGGCGTCGACGCTCACGCAGGAAGTTCTTATGCGTGCAGCTAACTTCAAACCGCCCACGATCTTGTCCATCAGAGGTACTAACATAAAATAAGAGAGAGGCTGGAGTGCGTTTTTGCCTCATTATCACTCGCAACCTGTAAGAACTCCCTCCTCCAGTAGGCAAATGCCTGCCCCCCATCATGCGACGCAACTTCCGAAGGTCTTATCACAAGGCCGTCGTAGTTAAACACAAAGCTCGTGTACGTGTTTGCGCAAAGAGGCCTGTAAGTCAACTGTGTGTTAATGTCCGGCATGCCTGTGCATCCACAGGTCGGCAGGCAGCATCAAAGCGAAAAAAAAACACTCAGATGACCGACGGAGAAACGCATTCCAGTGGGTATTCCTATCAGGCTGTGCGCTGTTTCTACGTGCGCACGAATGACACCCCTCCCTCCGGCCAACGTCCCTCAACAATCTCAACCGGAGAGCGCGAACCATAGCAGGTCCGTCGTCCACAATCCCAGTCACGCTGTGACTCACCGCACAGGGATTACGCGTGGAAGGGCCTGGCGCTAAGTGACAGGCCAGATGGGTGCCCAACCTCTGCTGAAGGTACACGTTGCACAAGAGGGGGCCTTGCCAGTTGTCCTTAAACCACCTAATTACTTATAACTGACAGACGCGCTGAGTAGCAACCAATTAAGCAGACCTCTTCCCAAATTCTCTGTACTGCCGGGAATTTATACGTCTTTGAAGTGTAAGAAAATCTGAGGATAGTTTGATGCGTAATTTAAAAGTGATATCTGCGGAAAAATATCGTTCGGCCCGACAGCCTAAATATTCTGAAAACTCTTATGGCCTGTAATGAACGCTTAAGTGTGAACAAGTCCGGGCCAGACTCCAGCAGCTTGGAGCCCACGTAATTGTCACCTCTCGTGGGAATCTCGGCCATGTCGAACTTGACTGCGTGTGGTCAGGTCTCGCCGAATGAGTCGAGACTTTGGGGTTGACGCCATTTTCCCACACTGCTGCTACGTGTTCAGTCATTCATTTCCTGAGAAGTCTTCCAGGTTCTCCAACGTAGTTCCTCTGCTCGCAACCGCACCAGATCCGATAACCGGCTCTAGGCGATGAGGCAGAAATCCTCGCGAGAGGTGATAATGGCATGAGCCGTGAGTTGCTTGAGTCATAGCTCACGGGCCCCTATCCTATTAACAAGTGTAGTGACTTCTCCACGTCCCCCCCTCCCCCTGGGTACTTAGCCACTCTAGGAGGGCACAGGCGAGCACTATTTCAAACGCCAGCGTGAGTGAGCTAGATGGCCGAGCAAACATCACGCCAACATCCAACACGATTGATAACATTTCAGTGGCTAAGGACTTGAATGCCAGACACCAAGTCATTACCGCGCCAAAGGGCGACCATCCTTAATGAGGGATGAAGGGCGGGGCTTTAATTATCATAGGTATGCGCTAGCGTAATGACTGCATCCTTCTGCATGAACTGGCCGTATCTGATGTTGTCTTTGGCGATGGGTTCGTACATGAATCCGAAACGTCATGCGAATAAGGCTCCTGTTCTGATGATGACGTTTGCTCCTCGAGTTGCAGGCCATTTTGCCCCCCCAAATATCTTTTAAAAGCTAGATTCCCCAACTATTGGTCCCAATAAGCAAGTCGAATTTCGTTCATCAAAACTCCGCTTCCCGTGCGGCGCCTCTCCGTAGTGCTTCTTAACTTCTCATTTTTCATTGGTCCTCTTCAACTGGCAATGTATACGTGATACTCTTCATAATCCCACGGCCTCATACCAAAACACTCCTCAAGCCAGAGAATCGTCTTCCAAGTGAACACTTTAACGTTATTTCAGTCTACGCTAAAAGTCATCAATGACTGGTCAATAGAGTAAGTAGGTCATGTGCTTTAATACATAAGTTACGACATCAGTTTGACTGCATTGCACTATAATACCAAACCTACTAGCAAGCAAACTGGAAAACGGTCCCCTGCGCAAGCCCGTATCGGACTGGATTAACCAATCGCGGCGTGTGCGGTTCCTGCACGAGTACATTTCAGGACAGCAGGGCCTGCCTACAACAAATAATACGCCAACTTTGAAGGAACTCTTTAGTCCAATTACGGTTCGTGTTTCGTGGCTAGCGGGCAGGTTTGTCCATGCGTAGTGGCTAACTAGCCCTAGATTGAGAATTTTCCTCGAAAAGACCTAGGCGATCGTGGACTATCTGCGCCATGTGCGTGCGAACGTTCGTATTTCCGGTTGCATTTGGTCATCAGGAATTGGCTGATTGAAGGCAAATTAGCACGCAGTCATCTCTGTATCCATCCACTCCCCCCCCCAAAAAACTCTACTGCATATCGTCCGCTATTATTAGCCTGAATGTCTTCGGCCTGACAGGTGGCTGTCTCTTCGTTACCTATGTCACTCGTAAGAAACAATGTTTTTGCTTCGTGGAGGCAGTGGACCGATGAAGCTTATGGTTCGATAGACTGGGTAATACCTATCGACTGGAATCCGTCTACGGCGTGTACGAGCGCATGTTTGTGTTTCTGGTTCCGGCTGTTGATCGGAGTTGTAATTGGTTAGACGAATATAGAATAAGTCCGAAACAGTACTGTACCAACCTACATAGTCCTTCATCGTTTCGCCCGACCTCTGTAGGTTGATAAAGGTCTCTAGATTTTCCACGATTCGCTGAGTACTAGGGTCATCACAGCATCAATGAAGCTAAGAAACCGTTTTCTGGTAATATAAACATCAGATTATTGCATAGCCTGAAGTACACGTAGGACTAGGGGTATGGTTCGATCAAATACGCCACTAGACGAGCATTTCGCCTAGCAAAAAGACGCCTACTGCATAAACTAGTCTTCGGAGTGACATCAAATCCTTCAAACCAAGTAAATTAGGTCGGTTACGAGGAGCAGGTGAATTCCGTAGATTTCCAAAATGCACGGAAAATAACCCACATAATTCTAGTTCAGCGAAAGAAATCGAGAAAGTTCTCGAAGCGGAACCCGACACCAAAAAGTAGCATGACACAGCGCACAAAGCAACTCGACACTATTGTCTACGGCCAGGAAGTTTACATAATTTGCTTGTCAATCGGAAGCGCTCTGACTGTCCTTTGCGAAAGCTTTGGCTGTTATCAAACTATTACTTGTGCAGTAGGGATAATTGAGCGATGCAGTGAAGACTGTTAGTCTACCCAGCCTTTATTGTCCCTGTGCAGTCAAATGAAATGGACAACATTCATGTCTTCGGTGCTACACCTTAGCTTGTGAGAGGAGAGTGTCTTCCACAAGTTGTCAATGTGAATGTCAGTCAATGCAAACTTTTAAGGACTCTGTGCCTGTACCGATCACAGCGAAGAACTCTAACTCACTGCTGTGAGTATACCCGATTTTGCGACTCACTCCGCTATCCTACCCCCGTCAGAAATCGAACAATAGTAGCGCATGTGTCCTATTCGCGTAGATGCAACGCACGCATATAAGAGTTCCTACAACTAACACACCCAACATCCTACATCTTTATCTCGAGTTTGTATCGCTTTCGCAACATGACTAACATGACAATTCGACCGTCGATTCCGACCATGCTCCACCGAGTGGTGGTGCAGGGAGGTTGACTTACGCGTGGATTCGTTTTGAGTGATAGTAGACTTGCGTTGAAACTGCCCCACCTTCTCTGCCCTAATCCGCCCGAGTAAAGACAAAGTCAAGAAGACCAGAGACGGGATCGGGCGCAGGCAGCCAGAACCGCCACAACTGAACCAGATTCCCCAAACTGGGAGCGTCCTAAAGGTCACTAGTGGCTGACACCTGAGCCTTCCTATACGCGTGCCAACAACG